GTCCCCAACACTCCCAAGCCTTGTCACTGTCCCTGGGCTCCTGTCCCCAACACTCCTGAGCCTTGTCACTGTCCCTGTCCCCAACACTCCTGACCCAAACACTCCTGACCCTTGTCACTGTCCCTGTCCCCTCCCTGTCCCCAACACTCCTGACCCTTGTCACTGTCCCTGGGCTCCTGTCCCCAACACTCCTGAGCCTTGTCACTGTCCCTGAGGACCCTCATCCCAAAGTTCCCAGGGCTCCCAGCACCCCAAACTCCTTGGATCTCTCTCCTGGAGGTTTGGGGGTTCCCCCCAGCCCCGACCCTGCTGTCCCCACAGGAGGGGCCCCCCTGAGGCCCAGGGCAGCCCCCGGCTCCCCAAGGTGCCGCGGGTGAGCCTGGAGCGCCTGGAGCTGGACTTGGAGCTGGACCCGGCGCAGCCGCCCGTGTTCCGCATCTTCCCGGGGCCCTCGGCCGAGGAGTTCAGCGTCATCGTCATCGAGCAGGGGACGGCAGGGACAGCAGAGACAGCAGGGACAGCGAGGACAGCAGAGACAGAGGGGACAGAGGGGACAGCGGGGACGGCGCAGCCACACGGAGCCCTCCCTGTCAAGGTGAGTGAACCCCGTGTCCCTCTCCAGGTTTCCTGTCCTACTCCCATCCAAGTGAGTGTTCTGTGTCCCTCTCCCTGTCAAGACAGGGGTCTCCCGTGTTCCCCTCCACTGTCCCCTTTGTCCCCATCCAGGTGAGTGTCCCCTGTCCCCCTCCAGTGTCCCCTGTCCCCCTCTCCATCCAGGTGAGTGTCCTCCCCACCCCTTGTGTGTCCCTCCCCATCCAGGTGAGCTCCTCATGTTCTCCTCCCTTGTCGAGGTGAGGGTCCCCCCTCCCTTACGGTGTCCCCCCCACTCAGGAGGAGCAACAGGAGTCGCCCATTGGGGACACTGGGGACACCAAACCCGTGGGGCTGCTTCCCCCTCCCCCACAGGAGCTGGGCCCCGTTCCGGGCTCCTCCCCTGGCCCGGGGCTCCCGGTGGTCCTGGCGGGGCTCCCGGGGGTCCCAGCGGGGCTCCCGGGGGTCCCGGCGGTCTCGTGCTGCCGCGTGTGCGGCCAGGCCGGGGCCGTGGTGATGTGTGACCGCTGCCAGCGCTGCTTCCACCTGCACTGCCACCTGCCCGCCCTGCAGGACGTGCCCAGGTACGGGATCCGCCGGGATCTGCTGCCCCTCAGCGCCTCCCTGGGCCCTGGGATCCACTGCCCTGTGTCATCCCTGAGTCCTCCAGGATCCACTGCCCCGTGTCACCTCCCTGGGCCCTGGGCTCCACTGCCCCGTGTCACCTCCCTGGGACTTGGGATCCACTGCCCCATGTCACCTCCCTGAGTCCCACGATGTCCATGGGATCCACTGTCCCATGTCACCCCCCTGAGTCCCCCAGTGCCCCCAGGATCCACAGCCACTTGTCACCCCCCTGGGACCTGGGATCTGCTGCCCCTCAGCACCTCCCTGGGCCCTGGGATCTACTGCCCCATGTCATCTCCCTGGGCCCTGGGATCCACTGCCCCATGTCACCCCCTGGGTCTCACGATGTCCATGGGATCCACTGCCCCGTGTCACCCCCAAGTCCCCCAGGGTCCACTGGCCTGTGTCACCCCTGAGTCCCACGATGTCCATGGGATCCACTGTCCCATCTCACCTCCCTGGGCCCTGGGATCCACTGCCCCGTGTCACCCCCCTGGGACCTGGGATCTGCTGTCCCCAGGTGCCAATCCCATGGGATCCCCTTCCCAATCCCATTCCTGATCTCTGGATCCCAGACCTCTGGGTGTCTCCGGGTGCTGATCCCATGGGATCCCCTTCCCAATCCCATTCCTGATCCCTGGATCCCAGACCTCTGGGTGTCTCCGGGTGCCGATCCCATGGGATCCCATTCCCGATCCCGCAGCCCCGAATGGACGTGTTTGCTGTGCCAGGAGCTGCCCCCGCCCAGCCCAGAGGCAGAGCAGGGCCCTCCCCACAAGCTGAGCCCCCAGGACCAGCAGGTGAGAGCGGGGCGGTCCCGGGGGGCTCCGGCGGTCCCGGTGGGATCCGGCGGTTCCCACCGGGATCTCAGGATCCCAATCCCGCAGAGGTGCGAGTTCGTCCTGCTGGAGCTGCTGTGCCACGAGCCCTGCCGGCCCCTGCAGCGCCTCTCCAGCTCCTTGGTGAGCCCGGCGGGATCGGGGCCGTGGGATCCGCTGCCCTCGGGATCTCCCTGACCCCGATCCCCACCCCGACCCCGCAGGACGGCCGCGACGCCATCGACCTGACGCTGATGCGGGCGCGGCTGCAGGAGAAGCTGAGCCCGCACTACCGCAGCCCAGAGGAGTTTGCCCGCGACGGCTGGCAGCTGCTCCGGCAGTTCCACCGCCTCACCGAGGTCTGGGAACCCCCTGGAGGGGCTGGGGTGGTCCCTGGGGAGGGGGGGAGGTCCCAGCCCCTCTGGAATTCCCGGTTTTTCCCCCCCCAGGACAAGGCGGATGTCCAGTCCATCCTGGGGCTGCAGCGTTTCCTCGAGAGCCGCCTGAGCGCAGTTTTTGGGGACAAGAAATTCTCACGGCTCCTGGTGGATCCCGAGGAACCGCTGGAGCTGTCTCCAGGCTCCTGATCCCCCCTTCCTGGGGGGCTGAAACCCCTGCCAGGACCTCGGTATCCCCCACCTCCCTCTCACGGTTCCGGTTTCCTCCCGGGCCCTGCCCCAGAACCTCCCAGGACCTGGGGATGTCCCTGACCCCCGTTACCGGAGGGTCACTTGGAAAAATAAAGCCGCGCCTCGGCCTCCTGGACCCTCCCTGGTTTCAGTGCTTGGATTTGATCTGGGATTTCCTCTCCTTCGCTTCGGGCTGGATTTGACCTGGATCTCCGGGACCCTCCCTCGTTTAAGGGCCGCATCCACCCCCCGTGCCCCCCGTTTTCCCTTCTGCTGCCCCACCGCTGCCATCCATGGCCCCTGAGTGGAACTGGGAGCTGGTGGGGTGGAGCTGGGCCTGCCCAAGCTGAGAGGGAAGGGACCGGGCCCGGTGAGGCCCCGTGGGAGGAGCTGGAGGGGAAACCGGCCCCGGTAGTGTCCCGGGCCCAATAAAGATGGCGGCGCCCATGAGGGACATGGCGGTGCCCGGTGGGAGAAAGGGCCCCGGGCAGGGTTGGCTGGTGGGAGCCGGAAAGAGCCGAAGTGTTCCGGAAAGAGCCGAGGGACCGAGATTGGGGAGTTTCAAGCGCTTCGCTCCGCCCCCTTTTCCGGAAGAACCCGAAGCGTTCCGGAAAGAACCGAAGCGGGGCCGAAGTGCCGAAACGAGTCGATCTCTTACCGAAAGAAGCCGAAGCGCCCTCGGGCCCGCCCGAGTCCTTCCAGAAAGTCCCGAGAGGTCCCGAACCGCCCCTTCCGGAGACCCCCGAGCCGCCCCCAGCCCCCCGCGCCTCTCTCCCTTCCGGAGATACCCGAA